ACTATGTAATCCAGCTAAGGAGGATTGTTCATTGAGTTTATTTTACATTTTCTTTATACTCCATAAACTGGAAAGGTGGGGATTTTTTAAGTAATAAAATATTTAAGTGATCACATAAAGCTTAAAATTGATCACACGAGTTTTAAAAAGGAAAAAGCCTCACTATGTAAAGGTTATCCTCCCTGTTAAAAACAAACAAAAACAAAACAACAACAACAAAAAAAAACACACACACACACACACAAAAAAAAAAAAAAACAACGAAAAACCACAACAAAACTTGTCTGAAAAGCTGGTGCTTGCAGGTAAGATTTAACTGTTTTAAAAATAAGAAGACAACATTGAGCTAACAACACCTCAATAGAATTCCTTCCTCTTGCTTCTAATTCCTTATAGAAACACAAATAAATCCATGATAAGATTATTTTGCAAACCAAATACTACTGAGCCTGAAATTTTCAAGTCATGACTCAAAAACTGGAAAAGGATGACGCATGTTTTCACCAGCAAAATCACTGCTTTCACTTTTAGGCAACACGATTCACAAAAAGTTCTGGATAATATCAGATTCTCTCTTAGAATTAACCAGGTCAAAAGAAAACAAGTAATTGATTGGAAACGAATACTATCTTTACTCCTCTTTGCAGCTACACAAGGGAATACACATCTATGTGTTTCATTGCCACCCAAAACGCAGTAATTGTTCCACATCTTAATGCTACCCAACCCATTAACACCCACCACAGTTGCCCATTCATTTTCAAGTGTGCCTGATCTATCACTTACTTGCCAAAATCAACTGTGAGACTACAATCATTGTTTCCATTTCTGCGTCTAGAAGCACAATTCCAAGCTCAAAACACTTATCTAAGATCTTTAATGAAAATTTGAATCCCTGTAGTCCATTTGTCAGAGGCCCTTTAAGAGGAATTCGATCATCTGTATTTCTCTTGAAGAAAAATGGAGAAAATCCTTCCAGACTGAACTGAGACAGTGTTAACTAGATCTCAATTAACTTAGTTCAAACCCCAAGATCCCAGAATCCTGTAAAGTCTGAAAGGGAACGATTTTTCATGTTTCCATGGCTCCTCGTACAACAGATGTTTTCATAACTGTGCTCAGTAACTGATTTCACAGAACAAATACTGCAGTTTGACTGTTAGTACTAATTTGAATCTAACTCAAAACATAGAATCATAGAATCATAGAATGGTTAGGGCTGGAAGGGACCTTCAAAGGTCATCTAGTCCAACCCCCCTGCAAGGAACAGGGATATCTCCAACTAGATCAGGTTGCTCAGGGCCTTGTCCAACCTGGCCTTGAACGTCTCCATTCTACATATTCACAGGGCACCAGTATTAAAAATCTAATCTTACAGTAGCAAGTAAAGATTTAACCTTATGCATAATTTTTAGAAGAAAATTGGGATGTGAGTATACGTAAAGTTATTTTATCAGTGAGAGAATATTCCTTTTTGCTTCTGGTGCTCTATGATTAAACATTCTTGTTTCACAAGCAGTTAACTGACGAATGCAATAATTCGTTAACTAATGAAAATTGTGCTTCAGAAGTGTCTTATTGTGACTTCCTCCCTGCCTGTCCTCTACTTTTGGTCTTCAAAAGCACTGCTTCCCTGCAGCTTTGGCTGCCTTCCTTGAAAACAGGTAGTAATCAGATAGCAAGGCAGCACATAGTGTAGTAACAACCAACATTAAGTTACTCTTGGAGTACCTTAAAACTATAATAATGAGGCAAAACCTCAAAGTTTAATTCTCATTGTGCCAGAGAATCAAGAATAGAATTCAGAGGTTTAATCAAATTTGAGTGCTGCAACATATATGGAATTGCAAATTTTTAGTAAGTGTGTATACTATCGTTTGGTTTACTTGAGTTACTATTCCCATTGGCATTCCAAAATGCCACGAAATACAAGATAGCAAACACTAAGTCATCACAATTGCTTTTGGCAATTGTCAGTTTTCTTCCATTCATCCATTTATTTGTTTTACATGCCGACCGTGCTCTCGAGAGAATATAAAATGCATTTCTATTTGTCTTTCTATCATTCTCCTGTAATATATTAGGAGACCACACCAAGAAATGGGACAAAGTAGAAGAGAAACTTGATCCTAGATTACGCTTGAAATAAGTATTTTGGGGATCAATGAGCTGTCTGTGACTGTTAAGGCCAAAGGTGAGGAAGAAGAGTGAATATCATTTAATGCTTCCTTTCACAGACAGCAGTTGCAGAAAAGTTGCTTGTGGAATGCAATTATTTGAGCCTGTGCTGCAACTGAATGCTCTGAGACTCTCCTTGACTTCGAGTAGGTTTTCAAGTTTTAAGAAAAACTTGAACTTAAAGAAAGACGACATTGACTTTCTCTACAAGTCAGCCAAATAAGATTTTAATATCCTGGGTAATATGTAGCAGCATTTTTAACAGTCTTCTCATCCTTTCATATGACATGCTATTTTCTACAACCAGGAACTGAGAACAACATAAGGAAGAACAAGAAAAATATCTTCAAGGCTATCACCACAGTAAGCTATTTGGACAACTTCTGTTGTTAGTAGTTTCAAAACTGTGCAACTATGTCAAGAAGAATTTCCTCTCACACAAAAACAACAGCTCTGTCAAAAATTTCAGGAGGAGTTTTTCAGTATTTTTAATGAAGAAGATTTTCAGGAATTCAGAAATATTTCTTCACATTTCTGATGAGAGAATTCAGCTCAAGGCAGAAGCTTATTGTTTTCATTAAGAAAGGTCTCATTCCGTTGTGTTATCTGCTGCTAGGGGTTCTTTCCCTTAAAGGTTTGCCTTTCTTGCTATCACACTGAAACCAGTGACAAACCCCACACATTTTAACGTCACTGCAAGGCTATAAGCCAAGAATCTATCAAACTTCAGTATGGAAAAAAGCATTAAATAACTGCAGATGTTGCTTTTGTATTACTGCATGTAATATCTGAACATCTAGAGCAGAAAGTGGGAAGCATTGTAAAAGCAGAATACTAATGGCTCAGATTCAGTAACTACTGAAAAGAGCAAGAGCTCTGAGTGAAAGAATTGTATATTTATCTTATGAAAAACACGGCTATGACTAACTCTTTGAAGGGGTTTCAAAAAAGCACAGAAAAAGACATACTCAGAAATAACTCAAGGAATGTACTCGAGAAATGGTTCAGGAAAGTTACAGTCCTCTGAGAGACGCGAGCTAACTTTCCAAACACTGTAGTAGTATAAGTCGCGGTTTTTATTCCTGAAATTCAGACAATAGCCAGGACACCAAACCTCTATGTGTAATACAACTCAATTTTCAAATAATAAAATCCTCAAGTAATTGATAGAATTTAGAGCATTCTAGTGGTTCAAATTAAAACAGAAGACTCTCTCTGGTTAAAATAAAGCATCACATGAATTGTTAATTCTCAAAGTCGAAAAATTAAAGAAAAAAAAAGGCAGCACAAAAATGCTTACAGTCAGTACATAAATGCACTTTAAAACCTTAAGTGTGTTTTCCTTTATTCAGATTTGGCCTATGAACACTTGATACATCTGACTCTATCCACCTTCCACAAATGCATATCCCTAAAGTATATCGTATTCTAACTCTTTGATAAATGAATAAAAGATTTGTAGTTATATCAATCAGGAATTCATTCTTTCAGTATCTACCACTTTTTGAACTCCAATTTGTTGGGCTTCCTCATTAGCTCCTGAGTAAGCTCCTGTTGAACCCTACTTCAGCGCTACTCGCTTCTTTTCAGTGCCTGAAACAAACTACCAGTAAACGGCCACATACGAAATACTGATCAATTGACCATTAACCACAGATAATAATGAAAAGACTTGAAGAGGCTGTCTGCAGCTTCAGAAGTACTTAAAGACCATCTGAAATGTATGAACAGTTGAGGATGGTATTAAAGTATCAAAATCATAACCGATATTCAGTTGTTAGAAACTGCATTCCCATGTCGAGATACAAATATTATCATCATATCTCCTATTGAAGGAATTAAGTGTTTGAGAAATTATTTTTTTTTCTCTAAAACCAGTAGCAGAAGAGCTACTTACATGATATACTGAGCAGCTTCAGTTACACTTGACAAAAAGCTCCAGCATAGTTTTTATTCTCACCATATTGTTCTCTCTAGTAGTCACACAGACCCATTTCACGCTGCGTTCCAACAAAAATTGGTAGACTACTGGACACTTTCCCATGGCATTATGCAAACTGTTTAAAGAGCGTGCATTCATGCATTCAACCCTTGGAAAACTAACTTACATCATTCACTAATGACACTAACAACGTAATTTTACTGTATATAACTTGGGGGACAGATGCTTCTTAGATTACACAATACACATTTAAATACTAATTAAAGGAGTATATTTAAAGACTTTTGTCTTAAATGAGAGCTCCATATAGTATTAAAAAAGTGAAAGCAAAGACTAAGGACACTAAGAACTTTGAAAAGAATGATGGTTTCAACCCACATATTCTAGAATCATGACAGTAGGCATATTATAGAGTTGTGATTTTGCGATTCAACTGCATATTGCAATTGTTACATTCTGCATCTTACTTGCATTTGTAGAGGATTTTGATTTAGCAAAGTAATGCAAGCAAGTAAATTTTTGTTACACAACAAACCCTCCATGTATGGAATAGACAACTTACAGTTCCTGCAGCTAGGAACATTAATGCAGATGAGCAAGATTTTAGGATTAGAATTTAAATTTAATTTTAATTTAATCTGAAGAAAATTCACGTCTGTCTTCAACATACCCTTCACTTTTAAGTGTTATTACGCTGTAAAGTGGAGGAGGAGCAATTCTTGTACTAGGCTGCTATGCTTAATAAAACCACACATTTTTAAATCATTTTCCTGCTATAAAACCATATATTAATTCCATGGTATTGCACAAAGCATAGAAAAGACTGTCATTGCACACTTTTAAACTCAATGAAAGCATAACACAAAGTAAAAGAACATACCTTTAATTTGTGTTCCAAAGGTAAGTGCCAATTTTGCAAACAATTCTGGGTTTTCAAATTTATCTTCTTCAGCTTTCACCCAAAAGCTGTTTTCTGTTATCTCTTGAGGCTCAATCTGAAACAAAAATGGCATCTCCAAAGTTAATAACTAGTATTTTCAATAGCCAAGTTAAAGCCAATACTACTGGACTTCTGTGATAATAGGACTGAATTGAGTTTAGGTATGTTCCAGTATTATGTTCTCTTAAAGATGCTTCTTGAACAAAACACAACTGGATGAACGGCCCTCTATCTACACAATTATTTTTATCATATTTCTCCCATTTCCAAACAGGCTTTGATACTGGCTATATGAAAAGAAAAAAGTACTCTGCAACATTGAAGCTGAAAGCCAATTTTACTCTTCATGTATGATTTAGAATAGCTATTTTCTTTTCAAAATATATTCCTCTTCCAGGTTTTGAAGTCTTGTCAATTCTTATTTTTAAGTTTGCTTAAATGGCAATTAATTTTTAAGGGCTATTTAACACCAAGATGATATTCAATAAATTTATCAATACTGTATTTGTGAGTCTCACTAGGATTTCACTGCAATACCTTGGTCCTCCATCTTGCACCGCATGATCAAGCTGTTAACATGCACCTGCTTTACCCCCAGCTGCAGGTCAGCCATTTTTAAAAGCCACCTCAATCCAACACTGATGGTGAACACAGTTACAACAACAGGCACTAAATTAAATAGTAAGAAATTTATTCCCAAAATGATGGCTCCTTAAAAGCGATGATCAAACAGACTTTCCTTTTTTTCAGTATGCAGATCTTTGGCACTGTTCCCAGAGCACTCAAGCAAAGCGTCCATCTGCAGTTACTTTCCACCATCACACACAGTGTTCAGATGTACACTTTATAAATTACTTCTATAAGCACATGAACATAATTGATTACAATGAATTGGCTGCAGTAACGGGCTGAGAGAGTTGGGGCTGTTCAGCCTGCAGAAGAGAAGGCTCCGGGGTGATCTTATAGCAGCTTTCCAGTACCTAAAGGGGGCCTACAGGAAAGCTGGAGAGGGACTTTTGACAAGGGCGTGTGGTGATAAGACAAGGGGCAACGGATTTAAACTGAAAGAGGGGAGATTTAGATTGGATATAAGGAAGAAATTTCTCACTCAGAGGGTGGTGAGGCACTGGAACAGGTTGCCCAGAGAAGTTGTGGATGTCCCATCCCTGGAAGTGTTCAAGGCCAGGTTGGATGAGACTTTGAGCATCCTGATCTAGGGGAAGGTGTCCCTGCTCATGGCAGGGGGGTTGGAACTAGATGATCTTTAAGGTCCCTTCCAACCCAAACCATTCTATGATTCTATGAACTAAAAGGTTAATTTTTCTGTATGTTTACAGGATAGTAGTCTGAGTATGTTTCACAGTCACAAAACTAGTGCAACTGACTCTAGAATCAGATACTACTTGACAAGGACAACTGTGTGGAAAGCCTAAGTTACATGTACGGCAGGAAGTCTTCCCTGCTTAAGATGTCTAAATAAGTTAAGAAGACAAATGAATTGTAGGAGTGAAACTATCCTAACCAGACAAAGCAGTGGTGAGTCAAAAATGAGCAGCAATTTAGGAGAGAATAATACAGCCAATGGCATACAAAGTTTCTTTCCCCCCTAAGAAAATTGGCAAAATATAAACAAGAATATGTGATTTCTTTTCAATTCAGAAGCGTTAAAGTTAGTATTTATTCTCAAAAAATTGTCCAGTTTTCTGGAAATGCACTGAGAATTATGTGGAAATAAACAAAGAAAAGCCCTCATCAATGTCATTTTGCTGCACTCTCTGGTTACTTGTAACAACACCCTCATCTGCAAATCTCTGTAATGAGCCTGAATTTCCAGCACTATCATGTTGTACTGTAGCACTAAGAAAGTGCACTGACGTGCGTCAACCAAAACCAAAGATTTGGTTCAGCCAGGAGCAACATCTGGCATCTCATGTCATCCAGCTCCGTCCAGGACAACTTGATAACACCCACCTTGGTAAGAAGATGTACATCTACATCCATATGAATTTTACAACAGTTTTACCAGCTGCAAAACATCCTGAAAAAAAACCTGCACTATTTCAGAGTCAGATTTGAACACACATTGAACAGTTGTTCCGTGTGTCAAATTACAACTTAAAGTCAGCGATGACCATCTGATTGAACAGTTGTTCCGTGTGTCAAATTACAAGTCAGCAATGACCATCTATTAAGCCACTTAACAGCTTCGTTCCATCAACAATTTGATTCTACTAAGTTCTTGGTACCAACCCACTGTTGACATAGAATATGGTTTTCAAGGAAAGTATCAGACACTAGCTGGTAGTCCCAAGTAGCAGACATCCAGTCAAACTACACTGAAGTCCAAGGTAGAGCTCAAACCAGATGGCATGCAATACATCAAGGTCCTCCTTTGACTTGCCTTGTTGATTAGGTGACTTATATATTTTTTCCTACAGCAAACTTCAATACATCTATCACATTTTATCACTAAAAAACTGCCAACCACAAACTGTCTTTTAAGATGTGACTGCTTAGTCTTGATGATAGGTGCAGTTATCTAGTACACCAAATTTATTTCCTTCATATGGAAGGAGCAGTGGCTATACTGATCAAAAAGGGATGTGAAGCAGCACAGATGCAAACACACACCTGGACACCTGCATAACCTCTCTTGTCACAATGTGACCAACTATATTGAGAGGCAAGCAATGACTCGTAACTGCTCTTACAGGTTAGTCTGGCAAACCAGAGACTGTGCTTGCAGTTTACTGCTCAAGTAAGTGTGCATATTGTAAGATGTTTTAAAAAATGAAATTTGATTGAATATAACCATGTTAAGACTCTGCAGCAGCTCATGGAAGTTACTGGTGCCCAAACATTTCACTCGAGTGGTCCCGTAGCTCCTCCCAGTGGCCACACACCTGCCCTGGCACATTACTCATTTACAACTAATAAACCTCTCAGATTAATAACCTACAGATACCATTACAGCACAGACACCAGCATTCTCTGAACTCAGAGCTATGTTAGACTTCACAAACACGAGACGGTTCCTACATGAAATAGCACGCTGTTACCTACGTTTGCTTTAGAATCATTCCTAATGGTTCGGATATACGTACGCAGCTTAACGCAAAGCCACGGTCATGTTCACTGCCGTAGCAGAACAGTGCCTCATCTTTTCATTTGAGTCAGCACACTTCCTCTCTGCTTTCACATTGACCAACAATACAAGAAACTCTCTGCAGAACCATGAAATTCCGTGAGCCTTCACCCACCGATCATACTCCATTCATTTCCCCTGTGCTAAAACCCAGTAATCCCATATGGGCTCTTGGCAGCATTAAACACTCTCAGCTTACTCCACAGCATAAAGTGGTTTTGAAAACCAATACCAACTGAACCACAATCACTGCATCCAAAATATTTTGGATAAAGACTGGAATGAATTCCCCAAACTTCATGAGTACTCATAACAACCTAATGTAAACCCTGGTCAATTACCTCCTTCTTCCTCAAGAGTCATTTTTCATTGATGGGAATAAAAACAAATATTGTAGTACCTTTGACCAGTTGATTCTCTTCATTGAGACTTCTAGCTTATACTTTTTCTTCTCCTTCATCCCATGTGGTAATGCTGGTATCACCGGAAAAGGAGCAAAAGGAACACCTCCAAGAGCTGGTGGCATCGGAGGCCCACCAAAAGGCAGTGGTGGAGGAGGTGGCGCTGCTCCACCAGGTAGCGGAGGTGGAGGAGGTGGTATTGCTCCACCAGGTAGCGGAGGTGGAGGAGGTGGTATTGCTCCACCAGGTAGCGGAGGAGCTGGAGGTGGTACTGCCCCACCAGGTAGCGGAGGAGCTGGAGGTGGTACTGCCCCACCAGGTAGTGGAGGAGCTGGAGGTGGTACTGCCCCACCAGGTAGCAGAGGAGCTGGAGGTGGTATTGCCCCACCAGGTAGCGGAGGAGCTGGAGGTGGTATTGCTCCACCAGGTAGCGGAGGAGCTGGAGGTGGCACTGCTCCACCAGGCAGCGGAGGAGCTGGAGGAGGAGGGGGAGGTATTGCTCCACCAGGTAGAGGAGGCGCTGGAGGGGGTGCTGCTCCACCAGGTAGTGGAGGCAGTGGAGGAGGAGGAGGTATTGCTCCACCAGGTAGAAGAGGCGCTGGAGGTGGTGGCACATTCTCACTTGGTAGGGCTGGAGGTAATGGTGCTACTTCTGTCAGTTTACTTGCCAGGCCTGGGCCCTGAAACATAAAAAAAATGAAATCTTTTCATCAGGGAGGGGAGGAGATTAATATGAAGTTGAACCAATCAGGAAGCCTTGAAGTCAACAGCACCTCAAGAAAGGAAGAAATGCAACCATTCTACTATTTAAATGAGAAGCAATAACAATAGATTATACCACGCACCATAAAACTGCCAAGTAAACTGAAGAACCTAGCATTTTTATAAAAACAAATTGTTTCCATTTTACAGAAAATTTAATAGTAGCAGTAACATTTAAGTGAACAGAAGAGCATTTTATTTCTTACCAATGCACAAAACATTTATCCCACTTAGGATATCCCAGCAAGCTGGGGCAGAGATGGCAATAATCATGCCAAATTTTAAAAGCAGTAATCTGGTGGTGCAAAATTTTCCACAGCAATCACCGAAGCAGCTATTGCAGTGCAAAGGTTATGGGACCACAGTTGTTCATAACTATCCTGACATCTTGTGGGGGCAGGGGGGGTTTGGAAAGGTAGAAAAACAGTCATGCTTTCTTTTAAGTCTGTCTGCAGTTGTTTCTGTAGTGATAGGAAGAAAGAGCAATGACAATATCCATTCTAATAAGTTGTAAAAGGAACAATGAAGAGAAACAGCAGCATGTTAAACCCTCAGAGAGGTTTCTGTAGCGATAACATGATCCTAGCCTAGCACAAATTCCTTACAGATTTTTGTCCTTCAAGACTGTCTATTAAAAAGCAAGATCAGGAGCTATGCACAAATTGCCATACAAATTCACATTCCATTTCCTCTACTTTTTTATTATGAAATTATTATGTAATATAGGCTGCTCACTTAATCTGATTTGCATACTATTTCCCTATACAATTATTTAATGTTTCTAGTTTAAAGGAAGCAAGTCTGTCAAAAAAAAAAAATCAAGCTGAGAGAAATCAGTGCATCTAAAAATAAGTGCCACAATACATTGTAGGGGGAGCATTAACACTACAAGAAAAAAGGCACAGATACTAGAAACTCCCTGTACATTGCTTTTAATTGTACCATTATTGTGAATGAGCTGTAATGTCTGGATAATCTGAACTGTGTTAGAATCAATGTAACAGTATTAATAATTAATTAGACTAAAAATAAATTTTTGGCTTTGTACAGGCTTGTGTTTCTTTGGCACACAAACTACTACACAAGTTATAATGCAACAGTTGGCAGAAAACTCATTAAAACAGACTGTCAGATTTCCCTGTAACATTGTCTTGCAACAAACATTAAAATTCGTAAGAACGAAGTAAGAACAGAAACCTCTGTGAGTGAAAACAAAATAAGAAACACCCTGTACCACAGGGTACAACAGTGACTTGTATTGACAGCAAAGGACACAATGACAACGAACAGCAACCCAACTGTCAAATGCAATGTAACGTTGAGATGAGAAGGTCAGTGCTATGATAAGGCTACAGCACAGACAACTTCTCAGCAGAAGACCAGCATCCTGAAAGCAGGATGATGGCAACCAAGTTATAGTACATTACATGCTCTCCTTCCTCTTATTACTCACATAGAAAGTGAAATTATAGGCATTGAGATATCCACACTAAGGAAAAAAGTCAATGGGTGGACCTTGCCTAGCAGTGAGGGAGTAGGAAATAAGTCAGGCTGAGGCAAAAACGTCAAACCATAGTATCTGTTGGTTCCGAAAGGGTATAAAAGACCTGTCTAAAACCCAATTCATTGTCAGTAAATAAAAGGAACCCAAGAGACCTTGCGAGGGCTCAACAAGCATCATTCCTTGTCATCTCTGCTTCACAAGTGAACCTGGACAGATCACCTGAAGATACGGTTTTTGTGCTTGTGAGCACAATTTATGAGAAACCTAATGCAGGTAAAATCAGCTTTGCTGAAACTAACTATTACCTTCACCTTCCATGAAGACTTGCACTTTGTTTTATTTACCTATGAGACTGTATAAAGCTAGTTTAATATTCATTTCAGAAATGGCTACGCAGTCTGATATCCAGAGTTAAAAAAAAAAAAAGATGTTATCAATTGCCTGTATGTGCTGAAAGGTATGTATACTGTGCCCATACAGCTATCATGATTTGTACCTTTGCAATTCAAGCAAAAGGCCTTCCAAAACAAACACTTTGTGCAAAACATACAGAAGTAGTCATGTTAAAACATAAACAAATACTTGAAGGAAAAAAGGTCAGGCTGGATTCTAACTTTTCATAGCCTACAGAAATTTTTTTCCTCAATAAAACAATTATCTGTGACAGGTGTTGAATATACCACTATTAGAAAAATGTTACCTCCATATACTATCTTTAGTACTTTATGCTGGCTTAAAAACAAATCAATACAACTATAACATACATTTGCAACTCCATAAAGACAATATATTCCAGGACAACTTTTTTCCAATGTTTAAAAAAAAAATTCAACTGTGAAACTTATTGTGCTTTAGTTTTATTACCTGGGTTCGTAGCTGTTTGATTTCTGTTTCAAGTTCTTTGATTTTCTCTTCTCTTTTCTGAAGCTCTGCTTGTGCCTCTTGTCGAGCTGTGAACTCTTCATCAAACTGTAATGATTAATGATCAACAAATTCAGAAGTGTTTGTCCGTTCACATCCACTAGATAATATATTTTCAGGAATTCTTTGAACAGTATCACAACTAGAGCAATAGATGCACTTTTAACTCTCAAAAAAAAGAATTTTTCCAATATGTGTTCTTCTAGTAACATGTAATTTCTTTTATCAATAAATCATGACACAGAACCACTCAGATTCAGCTACTTAGCAGTTTTAAGTTTGACAGACTTTTCCCCCCCAACAGAACACTGCAGACGTCTCAGACTGAACTCGAGTACACGTCTCATGCAGCAAGCTTAAATCTGAAGAGAGATGCATGCAGCTTCAGCAGTGTCATCCATAAAGTAATGTGAAAAAGGAGGTATCCAAATAAGCCAGCGCGTCTTGATGTCTCCATATAAAACAGAAGTCTAGTTTACAACATGATTGTGGGAAATTTTCATCCTACCACAGTTTGCTAGGCTGAGCAGATTATTAGCATCTTTAAAAGCTTCTGTTCTTCATTATTGCACAGGACAAACAAGTTATCACTAGCAGGAACATGTGTTGACTGCCACTAACAAAGCAGATTATGATAAATAACTCTGCCAGGGAAGCATCACAACAATTAGCTTTCTATCAAGCTCAGCCAATGTAACTTCTGTTAGTAACACACCCACATTTCACATTGAAGAGACACAAGCTAATGACTTCATTCAACCCTTCATCTGAAATTTGTCATCATCATGTTCCATAACACGTACTGACTTTTGACCCGCAAAAGGCTTCTTAGACCAGAGCAGCAAAAATAAAAATTTTGAATGCTTTTAATACACAACAACATGGTATTAGGAGCCTTGAATATTTTCCTCACTTCATTTTATTTTTAAGTATATACCTGCACTTTAGGTATTCAACTATGACAAAGTATTTCAGGACAAAACAGCAAAAAGTGAAATTTTTCCCATCAGTTATCTACAGCAGAAGAATACAACTGAAGATACGTACAGCTAACACTCTGAATTCAAAAGCAGACGAGCAGCAAGCTGAATCTGAGCCTTGCACACACACACACAGAAAAACCCAAAACCCACAGAGCTATTAAATGTGAAAGAACATCCTGCCTGTGAGATACACTATTTCCCCGTTTCACTAAGCTTCTGCTGGGAAATAAGCCTACTGTGTTCCTGTCAGGTTTCTGTTCCGTACCTTAAGAGTGATGATTAAGACTTACCTTTCTGGAAAATTCTGCTGCTTTCTTTTCACTCTCTTCTACTTTAGCTTTGTCCACACATGCATCTAGAATTTAAATAAAATATCACACACAAGTCAGGTAAAACATATCACAGCTCCGAGGTGCCTTCCAACCATAAATTACTCTATGATTCCATGACACAAAGCAATAGACAAAAAATACAATGAATTATTAGGTTGATCTGACCTAAAATTTGGTGAATTATTTTGATGAGCCAAATTTCTAAAAAAAGTGGTGAGGACACATGATTAAAATCTGAAGATGAATCATTATAGTTGTTCAGTCTGACAGATGTGAGTTTGCATGCTCTTCTCTTTTATATGAATCTACTACGAAATAAGAAAAAAAGTATTTCACATGAAGTATGAACTAACAGCTACTTCTGAGGTTTCAAACCAGAAAGCATCCTTTCCAGATTAGGAATCCAAACCCAAATATTTCCTTATTTCAGTAAAATTATTTTGTAGGCAAGGAGAATTTGGACAGACTGTGAAGCACAGATTTCTTCACTCAACAATGGCAAAAAGTACTTCTATTTACTTTTCATGCATTATAAAACTCTAAATGTTATAGGTAGGAATTGGCATAGAGAAACAAAACAGTTATCCCTAAAACTGGCAGGTCAGTGGAAACAGAAGGCAAGGTGAAGCAAGATCTTAATGTAAGATCAAGTGATCACGTTCCTAGAGTCACAAGTGAATAGAAAATGTAGAAATATTTCTTAGATATGCAGGGTATCTTTCAGAAAGCAATTCCCACCCCCACCCCAAAAAAAAGTCAATCTGTTCAACATCCTTTCTATGCTCCGTTTGTCACATCACCAAATGGTTTTCCCAAATGAAGGTGTTCTCCAGCAGCAATTACTTCCCCCTAAGAAATATTTACTCCAGAGATGCCCTTGTATTTTGAGAATACAATTTTCCCACCAATCTTCAAAAAAGCATAAAACAACATTTCTAAATGCTGCTAACTGCCATTTCAATGATATAGTATTTATTCAACTGCTTCTTTCCCATGCCATGAACATCCACAGTCTCTCAACGCTTCAACTGATTAGTTTACCTTAAAGTAACCTCAAATACTTGGAAAATACTACAGAAAATAATCTTAGAATGAACCATATAACGATTATAAACCCACTGATAATGAACACTAATGTAATTTTTTATATTTGTCACAGATCTGAAATTCACAGGATTTATGAATAAGCAATTTTTGCTTATTAGGACTACCGTATTCAGATATATGTCAAGACAAATTTGAAGAAGGAAACTTCATCAGTGCCATTTTATTGAAGGGTGCAGAGCTTAATCTGGCCTTCTCCACAAGAACACCTGTAGCTTACATGCATACTTACAGAAAACTGAAAAATTTCAGTGTCAATTTAAGTTTAGACAGAAGCATACAAAGAAAAACATGAACTTCAGTAAAAGAAGGTAAAATTGGTCATAGTATACAAACCAACAAGATGAGTAAAATCCACATCCATTCTTCCTCTGCATTTAAAATCTGGGTCCATGCCACTGCAGTGCAATACTATCTGTGATACGCATTCTTCTATTATCTTGTAATACTGAGGTCTATCAAAGAAAACATTTTACAAGATAAGAACATGAACAATCATTTATGCAACACGGAGGGGGAAAAGGGGCAACTCCTAATATATGAATCACACAACTGCCAGTAAAAGGATCAAGTTAAAAGTCTTGTTTGTACTTTGGTCACTAAATCAGTCGCCAGTTTCTCAGAAGGCTATCTGAAGTTCTGGACTCACAGAAAATTGTGCACTTTTCATTTATCCTTTGCCAGACAATAATCAAACTACGTCTTTAGTATTTTCAATATATGCTGCAAGAATTATTTAGCATATTCTGAACACAGTGAATTCCATCACTGGCAAAAGTGCCAGTATTCAATCACTTAGAAAATGAGTTAATTATTAACTTAATTACTTAATATACATCTCTACACAACAACACCAGGAACCTCTAAGATTAGAGGATTCTGTACTCGAAATTATTAGTTCTTACCAGTGCAAAGTATTACATCTCAATTTCACATATCACTGAGCTCACAAAGTAGGAAACCCTCAAACCTAAAATGATGATACTCCAAACTTTCAAATTAAAAAAACAATATATATAAATTGAAGCTTTCTCAGGTTATATTTTACTTCTTAATTTTATCCTCTTGCATATAAATTCTTTTTATCATTCCTTTACAACAACAAAAAAAAATTACTTCTTAAAACAAGATTTTGTATGTTGATACTTTGATACACATAAGTGAAGTTGAAATTGAAAAGACAAGACATAAGGCACTCTGGGAGTGTTTTCTATGAGCTGCACAATTAACTTTCAAGTTCTTTGAAGTCATTAAATTATCAAACTTGAATAAAGGAAAAAGTGCTCAACAAGTTTGGAGATTTTGGGATGAGAGCGTTAGAGTAAGGTTCAAGTCTTTGAAATAAGCATTATTATATTTAAGAAGATGTTTTCAATACTAACATCGAGCAGAAAGACAAATAACAAACCAGTTACAGAGCAACTACTCATGCATGATTATGAGCTACTCGGTTTACCACGGTCTTGATTTCTATTCTTCCCCCTACACACTCAAAAAAAACAACAAGAAAACAACAACAAAAACAACAAAAAAAACCCCACCACCACACCTGATAGCTGACACTTACCGGACATAGTAATCACTCCTGATGAGAAGGAAATGTTGGAGAATTGACAGGAAATAATTTTCAGAGGAAGTATCTTTCAACATATTATACAGCAGATGAAATACTTCATTCACATCAGTGCAAACATTGTTAAGGAAATGTGAGGACTTAACAAAATAATAATTTAAAAACCAACCAAACAAAAAAGACAAAAAACTGTACTACACAACAAAAAACCCACCCCACTCCAAACCCAGTTCCTGACATGGTGTTCATATTGTTCAAATAAAACTTGTCAACACAAAAGCTACTATTCTTATTAGTGAATATCCTTTTTCCACCAAGACTATCCACAGAAACTGCCCCCTGTTTAATAATTGAGCTGTGTTTCATTACTACTCAGAAAAACCATACTACATACTTACTATCATGGAATCCTGTAAATGTATTTCACACAAAGTTTTCATTTTCATTCTGAAGTGAGCCAGGTGACCGGCAAATACACACTAGTCACTCATTTTAATTTCTTAAAGAAGAGAGTTACCTGTAATTACCTCTTCTGTAACGCAACATTACTACTTAGTGATTTTATATGCCTCTTACTGATTCCATCTACCTTCCTCTGCTTCTCACGTACCAGCTACTACTCTTAAAAACTGCACGCAACCATTCTCAACTCAGGTAACTTTCAGTTTACTGCTTCTTCACAACCAGAGACGGCATGCATCTTCAGTGCTTCAGAAACTACTGGAAACTTTGTTCCAACTTAGATATCAAAACTCATTTTTCTTTGAACTCATTTCTTCACAGGTGTAATTTGATATCTTCAAGTATTACAAGCCAGAGTCTAGCTTAGTAAATGTTACTTATGAAAAATTACTTCAGTTCCCAATGACGCATTTGAAATGCAAAGTATTTATTTTCTAAATAAGTTTTTAACAAAAAAGAAGTGAAAGACATCTGCTTGAGAAAGTCCCCGGTAAGATACACAACTGTGATAAATAAACTGCACGTAGAGCATTCTAACTTACATTTAATAAAGTTATTAAATGATGCAACAAGTTATAACACCATTTCTATAAAGGATATTCCATTTCAGCTCTGATATCATTGAGACGATGTGACAGTTCAATTAAGTCGTCTTCTTTGTTCTCATCAAACACTTTCAGCTGAATATCGAGCTCCTCATTATCCTTATCTTTCAAGCCCTATTTTTCAAGGCATAGTATATCTTAATTTTACCTTTTTTAAAGCAAAAACTCCCTCCCTTCAAAGATTATATCATGACAAAATATAACACATGAACCTTTGGAACAGGAGTAAGCTCTAACTCAGTGCCTGTTTTTTTTTAATATAATTGCACAGCTGAGAAAAATTAAGGCACAGTATCAGCAAACAGACAGTATGGGCTGCAGAACAAACATGAAGCTTTCTAACCAAGCTGAGAAACCCTAAGAAAAATTAACATACATACACCAGTAACAGTTTCAAATCTGTGTTAAAAACTGAAGATTTTTATTCCTGACAAATGTTGACAATTCAAAACTTTGTATCTTAAAAGTTATAGCAGCATAAATTTCTCTTCAGACAAATAAAAGCAGGATTCTTTAATTTCTCGCATCTTTGGTGAGAAGTTGAGTAGCTTAATTATACATATTTTTGGTGTAAGCACCAGAATAGTTTCATGGTTAAGAGCTATAAATCTACCCCAAAATCACAAATATTCATACAAAACTACCCATAAAGGCATGCTTCTGTGTAGCTGCATGAAGACATGCAGTCTCAAAGTGAACGAAGTAATCAATTTGATTTCTCCTGAAACACTCCAAATGCATTTTCAGAAAGCAGATTAAAGAAAAACAAATTTCACAGAAAACCATAGGAACAGGATATACAAAGAAAGTTAATCGAAGATTGGTTCCACAGCCAGATTCACTTTTACTGCATCGGATGCTTTGAGCTCATTATAATAAATTTGATCACCCTAATTTAATTTCTAACGTATTGACTAGTTTCAACTCCCGTTCTGGTTTACAAAAATAACGACAGCCTAAATTTGCAACTATGCAGAATGAAAACAGATTTGGATTGATAGTCCTTTCCAGGTGTGGCGTTCCCCACCCCAAATCTTTCACATCTGCTATTCTCAGTAAAATAACTTGGTTATCTTCAACACTGAAGCAGTTGACTGTGATCAACTCCTATAAGACAAATGACTTACAGGCAATATTTTCTTCAGGCCACAACGTAAAAACTCATTTCTCAGGTGTATCCTGAAATCAAGATCTTCTGGAGATGTAACAAGGGCATTGATGAGCTGCATACATGCTACCTGTTATTGGAAATATAAGTGAAAACTTTTAGTATGTATAGGATGAAAATAAAGACTGTCTTTGACTATTTCAGTTTAATCATAAAACTATATGTCAAGAAGTAGACTTTGGTTAATTTAAGCAATATCAAATAGTGCTCTGTACCACTAAGGGATCATACTCTATTTCAGAAAGTTATTCCCACACTACATACAACTCCTTCTCTTTCTTCTCAGTATTCACCAATTTGAAAATAACCAGGTTTTAAAGTAATAGAAAATTTAAAATAACAAACAAACAAATAAAAAAAACACCCCAAAAACATCCATACAGGAAATAATTCACATCACCAGGTGTCTTTTCTACCCCGGCACAGCACTTTTGCAAAATGCCTTAAGTCTCAGGATGCTGGCTAATGCTTTAATTGAACAGCTGTGCACTTTAATTGATTTGCTTTAAAACAGGTAGACAATAGCATAACGCCAAGTGCTGATCCACGTTAAAAGACTAAAATGAGGCTCCAGGGAAATACTAAGTTTGGTAAAAGATGTTAACTGCAAAAAGAAGTAGTATTAGAGTAGGAAAAAAATAAATAAATAAAAATCAATAGCTGCAGAGAAAAAAGTCAGATAAAAGCACCCTTCCTCTTTTAATTACATTCGCTATTTAGTTTTAATGGAACACCTTATGGAGTCTTAAATTTCTATTAAAACACGCTTTCAAAGGCGCTCCCTTTATATAGCTGCATCTTCAGATAATGTAGTATCATCACGCTCGCTTGAATGATTCTTGTTATTTTACTACTATGACATGACTTAACAAGCCAAAGTACATGTCCAATCTGAAATTAATAGAGAGAAGAGGTGCCATCTGCTGTGATTGCTTTTGCCAGAAGAGACTCTGGCTTAATGGCTTGTGCTAATACATTGCAAGTAAAGAATGATTTTGTCAGAAACAACTTAATGAGTCTTGCAATTGTACCTTTACTGACGTCTAAGCGAGGTTTCGAGGGGGATGGGGGGGAACAGTGTTGTGTGATTGGTTTTCTCTGTTTTAAATCAACAAGGTCATAAAGTGGGAGACAAAAATGAATTCTTTTGTGATAGCACTGTTAAGAACAGAATGTCACTTAAAGAAACATTGAACACCATTAATTCATCAGCTCGGAAACAAGAGCTACTGATGGTAAACATAGCATTAAGACAACTATAGCTGACACATATATGATCTAAAAATAGAAAAAGACACACAATGCATGCAGGTATACCTGCCCTGCCTGTGTTCTACTTCTCTGTATCTTTCAGCCATGGCAGCTTAGCAATACAATGTATAAATACTGTATTACGAGAAGGAAATAAGACAAAGTCATCCTTTAGTATGATATTCAGCCACTTAGTCTCTATGCAAAAACTCACAGATACAAAAAAAAAGGTAATTTAAAAAGCCTGAATTCTAACAGCAAACAAAACTCTTGGGCTATTCTGGTGTACACAGAGAAGAAAAAGTCTATCCACTGACACAGAAGCAGCAATGAACATGTGATGTAGGACATTATTTCTGAATTAATAGTAAGCATATGAAAAAGTAAACCCACCTGCAGTTGAAGAAATTCATGGTTTTCCAGTCCTTCAACAATCTGGGAAAAACGTTCCCTATTGTGCCTTTCAGCAGCAGTTGTTATAGCACCTAAAAGCTTGTCCAGACTAAGAGAAAGATAAACTGTCAGAAAGCATACCACTGTCTACATCCTCATTTTAAAGACACCTAAGTCTCCTATTTACAAAACTCAAGCACTGACAGGGAATCTGAATGCATTATCTACACTTATCTATATGAAGTTCAAAACAAACCAAGAACCAAGGATTACAACATCTACAAGAGTGAGGTTGAATTAAAAACAAGGGGATTAAATGTCTAAATTATTGTGACATTCAGCTAAGAAACAAGCAATGAAGGGAAAGAAAAAAAAAATCACTACCTTTGCAAGACTGTGTACTAGGTACTAGCTGACATGTTTGACATCTGGGAATTCTAATTGTCTTTTCAGAAATCAAAATGGTTTCATCTACTTATTGCACACCAGACATACAGTTTGCCATTGTTAACCTTTAATAAACTAAGACACTCAGAAATTCAAAGCAAACACATGTCAACTGATCATCTGTTATAACAAACTCATGGACATGTGCTACATAACTCCATAACTACTCAAAACTTCAGGTATAAATGTAAACTTTTTGCTCCTGTCAATTTTGTTATGTGCAGATAGAAGTGATATTTTAATAAAATCCATAAATATATTTATTTCTATGTTATTAATATTATCTTCTAAAATAATGAAAAATCTTAACATATGGTGTCAAACCAGTAATTTTCAAACATAGTAAATTCATCTCCGCTCCTCAGGGAAGATGTCCCAATTCCAATCCTCCCCACGACAATAGGCTCAGCACCACCCCATGCTAACACACATTGTTCTAAACTGTCTTTAAATCTGACAGCTTTCCTTGTGGCAATTAAAAGTTCACAATTCCTGACCATACTCATTGGAGACATATGAAATAAGTAGTCGCTGAAATATAAGTTATGAACAGTTATGGCTCACTAAGTCTTCTCTACAGTAAGCAATCATAGTCCTTTCAGACCTTCCACTTAAGCCACAGTTTGTAGATCTCTGCTCATCTGCTTTTGTCTGATTTTATACTGGATTAATGCATCAGAACAGGTGGAAGGCCCTTTTCATTTAAACTATATTAAACAAGTAAAGACTTAACAGGTTACATTTGTTTCACTGACAACTTTTCTCACTTGTGTCCAAACTGACAACTCATGAGCATGCAAAAAAAAAAGTTTCAATATCTTACTTACATATTTTCCTCTCCAACAATGCAGATAGCAGAAAGTATTTTCACTGTTTCAGTCATCATGTGTGGTTGCTTTGGATCAATTGCTCTTGATAACAGCAAGAGACTTCTTTCATCTCCTAGAAACCTTTGCAATCCGTACTTAAAGAAACAAAAAGCTTACAGTGAGAAGATGGCATTTGCTTTGAATACTCATCATCATCTTTGGGCTTTAGATCTTTAGGAATACACACACACATCCCTCTCCATATGAAGTCTGGCAACATTCACCTAAAACCTACTGGCTATTACCGGCCTGCGGACACACATCAGTCTTCCCAATCCTACATTTGAGGTTTTCTCCTAAGGAAGTGAGTCAGATCCTAAGGAAGATACCTCATCCTGTAAAATCAGGTATCCACCAAAAGACAAACCGGTTCTTGTTTTCTGTATCTGAAACACCACAACAGTACCAAAAATTCATTCCCCCCCACTGTAACAGCTCCCAGCAAGTTGAAAGAATATTTTGCACACCATGACCAACAGAGGTTGAAATTCTTTTTTGAAACAACTATCTTCTCTTTATTGTATATTCTATTTCACTTTCTGCACAAATAAATTGAAAAACTTAAACATTGGCATTTATTAAAAAAAAATTATTTTTTCTTTTTCATTTTCATTCACTACAGGATAGTTGGTAAACCTGATATCTAATTGCTTGAAGTCACACTGTAAGTGCAGGAATAGCGAAGGGAAGCATGAGACCATTTAAGTTTACTTTTCCCACTTCATCAGTTAGACTTCAGTAAAATATCACTTACAGAACTAAGTAACAATAGTTAAAAGTAATTTTAATGCACATTTATATCTGTTAAGAGCGATGTTACTTTGTGAACACGAGTAACCCATGTTAGAAACAAGATACAACTTAAACTAGATGAAAGTTTTATCCTTTACCCACTACCTACCATCTCAAAAAATATAGCTAAAAAGATATTAAATGATACTTAATTTAAAAATCAGGTGAACAGTACATTATATTAACAAAAACAATCATGTATTGAAACCAGAATTTAGAAATAAATATTTACCTTTCAATTTCACAAGCAATTAATTTCCTAATTCACTTACTTAAATCCATACTATCACCCTCTGTTTGCCAAGTATTTGACTTTCAAAAATCAATTATACTTAATGAAACTAAGACAAAATGTATATTCATAAGTTTTATGAACAAGACTCTCAACAAAAAGTTACACTAAGTTACAACCTACATTTCCAAAGCATCAGCTGACACGGGATATACAAGCCCTCCTTCCTTTTCTGAGATTCAACACACTAGATAGATCTTGAAGTCCACAAAAACTAATCATGCTAGAAGTATCTGAATTTAAACTATTTCTTACCTTATTGTTCATAAATGCTTTGAGGCACTGGATGAGTTTATGTTGATTCTTCTTATCAATACTTTCTTGCCTTGAAAGGGAAGAGGAAAATAATATAAGTACAAACAATCTTCACAAGCTCCCCCACCTCTCCCTTCGAATGATCCGAGTCCTTACTGTTTCTTGTCCAGAAGCTTTTCCAAGACATCCAACAAAAGTCCAAGACCTTCATGTCCAAAATTGTTAACCCAGCTGGAAAAACGAAGAAAAACGCTTTTAATTATTTCTTAATCAAATGTAAAACCTGCAAAGTTATGTCTACAACACTGCTTCTACATCTCTTCATAGACACTGCTTAAAGTCTCATTTCCCAGGAAGACCTGATCAACCATTAAAACAAATGCTTAGTTCCAACAACCAGAAGTTGCTGAGAACCACTTTGAAAGATGAGAAGATACTGCAGACAGTTGCAAACATCCTTTTCCAGTGTGCTGAGAACTACTTTCTTGTGCAAACAAGTATTAGCACTATCACTATGATTTAAAAAGAAAAAGAAAAAGAAAAAGAACACACAAAACCACCACTATTCTTTATCGCTAAGCAAAAACAGCATGATGAAAACTACAGCAGAAATAATTACTTACCTGACTGGATTGCTAGTTAGAGACACTCTCAAAGACTCTAGACAATTAAGAAGCTTTTCCTCTGAAATTCCAGATCGCAATTCATGAATATATTCTTGTGAGGACAGTGTGCATTCATGCTTGCTGTTTTTCAGTCCACCCTATCACAGAAGACAGAACGCAGCTTAATGTTTTATCGATCACAGTAGCGTTCACACGATAACATGTAAGGCAAGTATTTCCACACGAATTTTAAAATCACTGTTTTCCCTGTACAACTATTAAAGACATCCGACAACTTCCATTTGTCCTAAGTGTTTAATAGTTTAGGTTTTGCATCACAAGAGTAAATGTTTTTCTGGAATCTTCTTCACTTCTTTGAATAAAGTGCATGTACTATATCTTCAATATAAAAATTTAATTCCATCATTCAGCTGTATTAACATGTTTAACTGCTACACACCCTTATTTAACATCTCCTTCACAACACTGTAGCAGAAACAACCACAAACACAGAGACATAAACCCCCCCCACATTATTAAGCTTTTCTGATCATTCCCACTTTACCCATCTTCTGTTTTAAAAAAACTGTGCATTATCACTATGGACATATCCTGACTCTCAAATTAGTTCTCTATTCTTCAAAAGAAAGGAAGAAGATAAGCCACTGAAAATTACTTTGAAAAGGAGTTAATATCCACCAACTGTTAAATCAGCGTTTTCAAAATCATGCAAATACATGACTTGACTTCTTGCTGTACCATAATTCCATGTTTGGCCACTAATAGAGGTCTCTAGAGGATCATGTTTGCTACAAAAGAATCACATGGAAGATTTGACAGAGAGCTCATTTCCCTGCTGAAGTGTCATTACAGAAGACTGACTACCTACAATGTATTTCAGTATTGAAATGCTTGACAATCAGGTTTTTGGACCTGTAGTATTCAAAACCATGAACAATATACAACATTTTACCAAAGGGTGCAACTAATCTTTAGTATAGCTCTGACAAGTTGCAGAAAAGTAGGCTTATCTTAGAAGGTCGGTGATGGTTAATATGCGGTTCCTAAAGCGCCTTAACTCCCAACAGTCTGTTGAAGAGAACCTGATGAAGATGTGTCATGGGTGGAAAGGCAGTATGAAAAGTGCCTTACCTAGAATAGGATTTATATGTATTTGGTTTTAATTCTATCAGGAACTTCTCTGACTACTGTAATCTTCTAATTGTCTCTCTTCCAAAAAATTACACTTCTAATGAAGTTTCTCATTTGCTCTATTGAAATTCTTACCATTCGTTTTGCAAAAATGGCACTCAGTATGGATGATGACAAAATGACTTGTCTACATCTAAGTGAATTATTTTGACCTACATACATTTCAGTATTAATGCACATAACAGAAATACGTAAATGTTCACAACGTACTTTCAGATTGTTTGTCCTCAAAACAAATATCTGAAACAGACTGTGAATGCATTAAGACAAGAGTGCCCTCTCGACTATGTCAACTTTGAAGATGTTTCTTGCTAAAAGCATAGCACCTTTAGTTGGACAATGCATGCTAGTTATACATCAAAGGTGCAAGGCAGACATAATGATGAGTAAATAGGATATAAAGGAACTACAATCTGTCACTGTCAACCTCCTAAACAAAGAGATGCTCTTCTACCAAAGGAAAAAGAAATAAATGGGTGGAGGTTATCTTTATAAGAGTAGAAGCTTACTTTAAATCAGAGAAGCATATTAGTACTACATCTTAAAAATCATAATAGCACAGTAAAACCATCACTCAAAGAACATCACGTAAAAAAAACAGAAGAGAGGAACAGCTTTATGCCATTCATTACACTGGATGGAAACCAAAAAAGATGGTATAGGTAACTAATGTACACAATACTGAACACTGGTTTTGTCATTTCAGGCAACAGCCGTTCCCAAAACCCTAAGAGTAAAAGAAGAAAACAAGCACTGCTGTAAGTCACAAAATCTGTAAAGAGATGAGGTAATGGAAACTTGAGTCAAACGTCATTACATGTTAAGCTAGACCTTGAAAAACACTGTAGAAAGCAAGATTGTTTTTTTTTCCAGCAAACTGTAGTCTGCTACAAGCTCCGAGGAAGATACTACTCAGATGAGGCATTTAAGGTCATAGCTATGTTTCCTTTCATATTTAAACCAAGGTGTGCTCTTGCTGTCCTAACTTTCCACGTGCCTAGGACATTAGTGAGGACTCTCTACTCTGTTCAGCTCTTTGTTTTCAGAAGACCTATGATTCCTTCAAAAACTGCTGAAATAGGTTAAAAGGGAGAGAAATGGGATGCATGGTCTCCTAAGCCTCCTTTCCATGCCTTACAGGACAGGCACACTTCTTCACCCTATGTCTAAGCACCTTTAACTGCATAGCAATAAGGAACCATCTCCTTTTGTTCCCCTCCTTCTCAAAACAGATGATCACTAAAGATGGCTCAAAAATCCATTCTCAAAACTCTTAAGTACTCATATTCATGCTAGAGAATTCTCAACCTAACAGGATTACTTTCTGTTATTTTCTGCAATCAACTTTTCCATCTCAATCCACTTTTACCTATAGCCATGGTAATTGGAGAGCTACAACCAAGTGCCGTTTCTTTTATTTCCCTATTCAAAGAGAGTTTGATTCCAAGACTGTTTCTAAGTAATGCTATGCCTTTACACCGATCACATTTTATTATACATACACTTCTCATTTACTTTGAAGTACAAGGTCTCAGTGAACATTATACCTTATGTGAGAGCCTCTAAGAAAGACAATGGCAAAAGTAAAGCACAAAGAAACTCAGAGGATTAGATCCCACACCAGAACTTTCAGAGACTAAATCAATGCCTAAGATGAAAAATCTCAGAAATTACTTTATGATCAGTCATCTTGCCAGTATTACAATTAAGGCATAGAATTATTCATTCATGACAACTCAAACGAAAGCCTGGACCACACATTTAAAATCCTTTTCTGGGGAAGTTAAAAGTGATGAAGTTTTAGTGAAAAACTAAGCTTAAGGGAACTCCTAGAATTCTCACAAAAAAACCCAATTATATTAAAGACAATCTAGCTTGCTTTCCCATTAAGACGGTAAGTGTAATCAATTCAAATCTGCGTGTAGGACACATTTCAGGGTTTAAGGGACAACAGTGACAGAGAGACAGGACAGACACCTTGCAGTGCAGGATACAGTGAAAAAATAACTTAAGTATAGTTTTCTCTCTACACAAACTGTTTTTTTTAATATTTAGAAAACCAGTCAACAACTAAGTATTTTAGATATTTTCATTTCAGTTTATCTTACTCTACTTTGACTCCAGATGATTTCAAAGTTGCTAGTTAGACAAAGAAACTCCTCACCCAGGACCTTCGTAAATATTAGAAGAGACTTAGCAAATGTCCAGTTTTATAAACTACTCACATGTGTCACCAGAGGCCTGTAAACAAGTTAGAGAACCAATATCTAACATAGGAAAGCAAAAGCATATTGCTCTCCATGAGGAAGAAGCAGATATTCTATTTGCTTGATGGTAAAGAAATGCAGAGCACACCTGCACCAAATGGATGGGCTGTAACAGTTAAAATACCAGATCAGAAAAACTTGCACAAACTACTCCTCTTCAAAGCACCAAACAATTCAGATTTCATTAGGTCTTAAACTAAAGCTGAGTGCAGCTGAAGTATATTGCTTCCATGAGACAGTGTTTATTTCAGTGAGAATGTTGGCAGCCAGTATATCGAATAGAAATCTCACAATATCATAGGTGGTCACTTCTGTCCAACTCACTACACTATTCCATAATTTAGGGAAAAAAAATATCATCACTCTTTAAACAAACAAGTAACTAGTACTACCATAACTATTAAAGAAGTGGAATAACTTATAATTCCCCCCCACAATGATTAACTGAAGAGCTTTTGCATACTCTCTATTAATACAATTGTTTGTATCTCAAGCAAAGATACCACTACATTTTAATTAGAGTACAAGAAAGTCAGACAAGACAAGTTGTTTGGGGAGGTGATTGGTTTGCTTGTTAGGAAAGCAATAAAAGCATTTTCAATGTTTGGTTTTTGGGGTTTTTTAACCCACATATAGTCTAGCTGTTGCACATCTGACTGGGAAAAGCAGTGTCCTTGTTCAAACTATGAGGAAATACTCTACCAGCTCCTGAACCAGAAATTGGAAGTTTACACAGTTCATATGCTCTTCCCCTGTAGATACTAGCCAAACTAACCCATTAAAAACAGAACCAACAAGCTAATCCTTCTTCAGACATCTACATTAAAGGCCTGACAGATAAACAGCAGATGTGCAGCTGCTGTTTCAGTACAATTATCATTATTATATACAATTATATACATAATACAATTATCACTATCTATAAAAGCAAAGAAAGGTTACTTTGCAGGCAGTTCAAATGACATGTGGCCACCAATGCTTGAGATGCCAAGTAAAACTCAAATAAGTTAAAGCTCTAAACTGCCCATTAACAGGCAAACCTCTTCTCCGCAATAGTCACTACAATACAACAGTACTACCATCAACAGCTCAAAATTCTTATCCTTCCTGACCACCGTAAATCTGTACATCTTCAGGAAAACAACTACGTATACCAGCAGATGCAACCAACTCCCAAAGGATGAATACTGTAAAAACATGTACTGAGAAGAAGGCTCACCAAGATGCACGCATTCTTTAAGCAATAATATGCAGAAGCCACACTTTAAGAGCAGCGTTTCTGATTTTCATGTTTTGCAAGTTATCTGTGCAAAAACATGCTCTTAATACATGACTATTCTTGCTCTCTATCAGACTCCAAATTAAAAGGCATGGGGAAGAAAACAGATACCGTAGGGTTTCCCCACTGCTCATTCTGCATATACCAGTTTCCTTTATAAAATAATTATCTTTATTATAAAATAAAAGAAAATAATCTTCACAAAGCAGCTGTTCAGGCTAATTCATATCATACAGAATTTACACGGCAGCAAGAATTACTTAAAACTGTTTCTAATGCACTGAACTGGAGAATTAATAATTTGGCCCCTCAAGATCAAATACCTTTAAATGGGTTCCTTGTGCTTCCGTATTTTCTCAGTTGGCACAAGAACACAGAACTGTGTACAAAACTAAAGGGC